TGAAACACAAATCTGCAGCAGTCCTTCTGAGAGTAAGTCTGTGGATGAAGATGCATGTTTTATGCTTCCCAAACTATTTGATTCTGTTTTTGTGTATGTAATGAATCTTATCACAAAAAGAGCCTGTGGTTTCACATGACATGACACAAAAAATTTATACCCATGGAAGAAAATGGGCTGCAGAAATAACTGTTTATTAAAATAGCCCATGCATATTTAAAAAAAAAAAAAAAAGATTCCAATTCAAATGAAGGGCACATTTTATATATATTCAGACTGAGAGATTTTTATAATGCTTTTTTAACTAAATTTTTACAATTCACCTTTACCGTAAATTAATTTTAAAAGACACAGCAGTAACAAAATGCACAATGGCAAGCAGTGACATAAAGCTAATTTTAGATGCTTTGTGACGATTTCTATGGAATAAGAACTGTAAAGTTATAGGTTGTTAATTAATAAAGTAATGAAAATCACTTACCTCTAACTACAGTTCTCTGAAGGTAGTATCCTCCGTAGAACCCCTATCTTGGGTAGTTTCACCTGTTGTAATTTCCCTCAGGTGATTCCAGCAAAGTCTAAGAAGTTTTAAGTTCCCTTCAGCAAATCCTATTAGTGCATGTGTGTTATAAACCTGCTTACATACTGCTTCAAAGCTGTAATTTCCAATTCCCACTGAACCACCACCACCTCTATTTGTGGATCAACAAAGGATACTATCTTTGGAGAATTCGATCTAGAAGTATGACTTTTTTCACTTCTCCAAAAGTATCCTCCAAATGGTTCCAATGCCGATTATCTGTAACATACTTAAGGGAACGGTGGCAAATCATCAGCAGAATAAATAATAACAAAGATTTAGCTAAACAATTACACTTGCCAAATATTCAATCAAAAGATGACAACATGGCAACAGAAATAAGCTTCCTTAGCATTCAATTAGTAGGCAAAAAAAATAAACTGACAGTACATGTACAAAATCTTTCATGAAAAATACTGTTTTAATAGGTAAGGCAGAAAAACTAGTCTATATCACTTGAGAATACCCAATTTTTCCCTAGTTTTCCTAAAGAAATGTCATATTTAAGAATTAGTTAGAAAATAAGTTGTTGAAAGACAAATGTGAATAACTTACTGAATAATTTTTCAGTATGTTTTTTCTAGCTCAAATTGTTCAAATAATAAAACATAATCAGTCATCCAAGGTCCATGTAATATGCCTAAAATGCTCAGTTTACAAATGATACTATTTTCAAATATATTTAGAGAGAAGACTGTAAACAGCAGAGGAAAGGTGGTTTCATCTTTCACTACTAAGGAAAGGTGTTTTACTCAGATGACTGCTTTGGATTCTGCAGTGTAGTAAATTACTTAGTGTGGCTTTTCTACCCATAAATCTTTGTAAACTCCAAGGCCGGATTTTCTATGAGCAACTGAGGGGCTCCTGATTGCTGAAGTTGTCCACCCACAGTATTTCTGTTGGGAGTGGCACAAAACAATGTTCTGGGAGGTGCCCACTCTCTCTCAGGTGCTTAGAGTTCTGATGCTATGATTGGCTAGTTTGACCACCCTGCCGGGCTCCAAAGGAGACCTCCTGGAGGCAGAACTCTCTCTGACTGCTGGTCGAGGAAGACGTGCTGCCGAAAGAGACACGTGCTCCTGAACGAGACACATGCTGCTGGGAAAGAGACACAAGAGACATGCATTACTGAGTGAGACACCGAGGGACCAGTACTGCTGGGAAAGAGACTGTGAGAGACTGTTGGTTGAGGGACAGTGGGCTGGGAGAGAGACTGAGCGTTCTTCCTGAATGTAGCCTGGTGCTTCCCTAATAAACCCCGTAATCCGTGAGTTCTGTGTGGCCACTGCAGCAAATTATCAAACCCAGGAGAGGTGGTGGTGCTTTGGGAGGAATGGTTGGAGAAAGGGCTGGAGGGAGGCAGCGTGTCTGGCCTTGCAGTAATAGGCCTTGGGTTACTGCTGGTAATCCTGTCTTCCTCTCGTGGGATTAGAGGAGGTCAGAACATGTGGCCTCCTTGCCCTTTTTGCAGATTCCCATTGACCGGTTCTGTATCTGCTAATTTCTTGGTAGCCACTTAAAGTAGGAGAAAGCCGCAATTGGACTCAATCGTTCTAGAGTTCAAAAGAATAAACCATACCTGTAGTACTTTTTGTAGAGGATAATGTATGTAACAGCTTAAAAAACACTAATTTTAGCTAAAACGCACCATTAGTTTGATAATAGCATTAAATAAAATCCAAAATAACATGACAAAATTCTACTTTCTTTAAATGTCTTTCTTTTTTAGCTCTGTTTCCCTAGCACATGAAGAGATCCAAATGCATACTACTGAATACTGTAATTTTAAATATCAGCCTACCACTTTCCATGACTCTCCTTTGGAATACAGTTAAATATGCAATCAGAATATAAGATTATCATAAAGCAATTAATGAATGGATAACAAAAGGAGAAATGAAATGGTCTTAGATAATCCTCCATACTGAATATATATATATATATATATATGTATATTATATATCATTTTGATCATTTAAATTACCTGTGCTTATATAATGTGTGGTTTTTAAATTAAATATTGAGAACAGCGATACCTTTTTTAAAAAATTTGGCTCTTCATGAAACAAAATGTACATGAACTGTGGTATGGAAAATGAATTTGCTTTGTAAACTTTCAGCCAAACTGCAATTAAATAAATAAATAAAATTGTTTTAAAATGTGGCCTTGTTTGTTATAAAACTCAGGATATTTTTCTAATTTTAAAAGCATATGGACCAAACAACCTTACAAAACACACAAAAAGTACTCTCCAATGCAAAAAATAGTGACATAAAAAGCATTTATAAATTAAATTGTTTAGGTCAGAAAAAATAAAATACTGAGCCATAGGCAGTACATCAGCACTCAATTTTCCTCTTATACACGCACTATTAGGACTTACTGAATGGTCAAAAATCTTCTAGATCTTGTGAGTTTAAATGCAGGAATGACTAACAACCCAAGAAGGCGTATCTAGGATGATACTTACCTTAAAACAGATTATACCACTGTGCTATTATGTATTCTGTATAGGGATACACAAGCAGTCAGCTGAAAGGTACACACCACACTAGCAAATGCTTGGCTGGACCCATAAGGTCGGATGACCAACGGAATATCAAGATATGTGTCGATTCTCCATCCCTCATAACCACATTCCAGACATCTCACGTAGTCCTTCAACTTGCCTTGATATAGTTCATTTATAAGATCAGCCTAAAAGTAGGAATATTTACAATTTAAAAACATTTGCATTTTAAAATGTTAAAACACAACAACTCATGTCTTTTAGAACGGATTTCAAAGGAGTATTGATTTTTACTGCTACAGCTTTAGAAAGCCTTAATATTAGACTTACCTCAAATGTACAGGAAAAAAAAATCATGACTTGACAAAAATTATTGTTTAAAAAAAACAGTAAAATTAGATTAACACTGATTTAGGTTGCTATACTTCTAAAATATGAACTATTAAAATAAGTTTTGATGAAAATCAGCTACCAATCATTTATACTATTATGCCTCATTAATTTTTCATTAGGCTAGAACACATCCTATCTATCACTTTAAGGATGTTGATAATTATAATCTAAACTATCTTTATACCCTTATATATGCATATTCGGAAGGAAGGTTGGGCAATCCTACTTCCGTAGTGATAATGCCTCGGAAACCCAAGGAGGGGTCGCTATGAGTCAGGGCCGACTCAACAGCACATAACAACAACAACGATATGCATATGATCATTTTCACAATTATATATTCAGATTTATAAAACAATATTCTTCAACTCAAGGTATAAATAAAACTTTTTAACTTTCAGTAGTATATATAATACAATTTTAAAAAGAAAAGTGAAATTATCATTTTTTAATGTACAGAAATTTTAAAAAAGTATCTTAAAATTCATCTCTTTCAAAATATCCTCACCTAAAGAATGGATCTTTCACCTAGTACACAAACTTAGCCAACTTGGATTCTGGCTCAAAGAAGGTAGGTACTCCTTAAGTAAAAACCCTCCATGTGAATGTTTTGCCTCAAGAATCTTGTATCCAAACAGGGGAACTCAGTAAGTATGATCTAACTGATCTTAATGGAAGTGCTGAAACATAGAGAGGGATGTGACAAAGGAAGGCAACTGTAGACCCACAAAGAAAAAACAACCCTGAATATCAGCTACAGAAAATTAGTATAGTCTCATAGGACTATGAAGAGAAAGTAGATCTCTAGGTGAAGTTACTTTTATTTATTTATTTTTTTTCAGTATTTCTTAAGTAAAAATAGGTGTGAGGAATTTATATCATCAATTTATATATTTTTTTAAATATAAATTGATAATTTTTTTAAATAGCTAGGAGTTACAAGCTTGCAAACTATGACTTATCTTTTCTATTCTGATACAACTGTAGACCCACAAAGAAAAAACAACCCTGAATATCAGCTACAGAAAATTAGTATAGTCTCATAGGACTATGAAGAGAAAGTAGATCTCTAGGTGAAGTTACTTTTATTTATTTATTTTTTTTCAGTATTTCTTAAGTAAAAATAGGTGTGAGGAATTTATATCATCAATTTATATATTTTTTTAAATATAAATTGATAATTTTTTTAAATAGCTAGGAGTTACAAGCTTGCAAACTATGACTTATCTTTTCTATTCTGATACTATTTATTTAATAAAGCTTTCTTCCTTCACCTACACAGGTCTTATATGATTATGTCTTCTGTACCTAGGAGGATATTTCAGAGTGGTTTAAACCACTATTTATCAAATATTTTTGATAATAACCCACAGCACAAAAACAATTTGCATCATAATTCAGAACATGTAACTGTAACAAAAACTTCATAAAATACTTAACCTTCTTCATATGATGTACTCTTATACTTTTCTATAACTTTTTTTTTTTTTAAGTGTTAGTACTGACGTACTGAACTGATTTCAAAAACGATGAATGGATCAGTCTACAGTTTGAAAAACTCTGGTCCAAATAATCACGATAGTTCCAATCAGACAGCAGACCTACCAAGCTACCTTCCGTATTCTTCTTTTTTTTTAATCCTTGTGATCTTCTATCACCACACCCAAAATAATCCCTTCCCTGTACTGTGCCCCATCTAATTCAGTCTTATTCCTCATTTCAATAATATGTTTAACTTTCTCCTTACCCTATCTTGCTCTTCTTTCTACTTATGAATAGTTGTCCTCTATATATAGGGTCAACTCAATGAGGACTCTAAGTGTCAAAATTATGTCTATCCCTCCTTGGTCATAATGAGAGAAATGTGTGATGAATAGATTTTATAATGTATTACACATTATAAAACACATATATTTATTAAGAAATATCTAAAAGCTATACATAAAGAAAAAAATCAAACACTGAATTATATAGTTTTTAGCACTAAGAGACACTCCAGATTATATGCCCAATTTCCTTGCATGCAAGGTGAGGAAACTGCAATCTAGAGTGGTTTGCTGAGGATCTTTATGATCCAGGTATGCTCAGGTATGCTTAACCGATAACCTAATACTTCCAATCCCCCATTCAGTATTCTAACAACCAGGCTAATGCTAAAGTTTTAAAACATTCCAACAAAATAAAAGTCACTTTAAGGTAATGAATGATTTATTTGCAAACACTAACAGTCCTCCCCCTCACCTTCAGAGATATGAATTACCTGTTCTGTTTGTTTCCATTTCTGTTCCAAAGCATCAAACATAACTCTGCACAGTTCTTGAACATCATGCTGTTGCCAAGCTATTTTATGATAAAATTTAGTTAAAAATAGCAATAAACATAACGTAATAAATATTAATTTGTTATTGATAAGTAAAATGGCAGAAACATGGCAAAGTCTATACAAAATAATTCTAAATGTAAAAAGAAACACAAAGTATACATTACAACCATGATAAAGCAATCACAAAGAAAAGAATCAAGAGATCTCAGCATTTTACAAACAGTACATGCTTTATGGTGCTATGATATTTGTTATTTTTATTCTTTTTCACTTCAGAGTTAAGAAATATGTCATAAAAATCTAAGACAAAAAATTTAGGTTAAGTATCTAACAAAAAACTTATCTTACAAGAAAAACTTAATTGATCAAAAATTTACCCTTCAAAACTTAAATTTTAAAATGTAAGCTATTTTTTAAATCCCAGCAAAAAGCAATGAAAAGATATAAGGCAAAGTTGTTAACATGTGTTATGTATTATAGTATACTAACTGACAGAATTTCTTTCAATATTAGAAATACTTATTGCAAAGAGAATGAATTATTACCCTCACTACTATCCCATCCAAAGCTTCTTGTAACATCTGTGGTTTCAATTGCTCTCTTTTTGCTGGTTTGTAACAAAACAAAAAGTCTTTGAAGTTGGTATGGAATACTCGTCACTGGATCTTCTTCAGAATCTTCAAATTCCCACCTGTCAAAATTTGTGAAAATTAATTATAAAATATTTTCATTCTTTAAAGGACAATTAATATCAAAATCATAATGATTAACTCTTGTTGTTATACAGAGTTAGTTTATTAACTAAAGCTATTTATATCTAAAGGAAAGCTATTTATATCTAAAGGAGTTCTGGTGCCGTAGTGATCAATATGCTCGGCTGCTAACCAAAAGGCTGAAGGTTTGAACTCATCAGTCACTGAGTGAGAAAAAAATGAGGCTGTCTGCTTCCTTAAAGATTTACAGCCTTGGAAGCCCTATAAGGGTAGGTCTACTCTGGAACTGAGCTGAAATTGACTCAATAGTAGTGGGTTTGGTTTGGGTATTTACAGCTAATAAAACATTAGTCTTTCACTAATTCATAAATTCAGAAGAAATTTAAATTTACAAAGAAAAAGCATAAGATGGTAACAATTCTCAAGAATGAAAAACTAACCTCATTTAAAAATAATCACTGAACCTGAATCTGACTAAGACTTGTTTTAATTAATAATTCACAAAAAAACACAGGGAACAGAAGAATAACATTAAATGACACTATGGGCATGTAACAAACATCAAAACCCAAAATATAGAAAACTCTCGGAAGGAAGGTTGGGCAATCCTACTTCCGTAGTGATACTGCCTCGGAAACCCAAGGAGGGGTCGCTATGAGTCAGGGCTGACTCGATGGCACATAACAACAACAACAAAGAATAAATAGCATTAGTTTTCAACATATATCTTCAATATATAATGAATAAACTGCAAAGGGTAAAAAGACAGAAGGACACTAAAAGTAGATTAAACAGATTAAAAGAGTTCTATCAACCAACTGCTATGAATGGATCTTGACTAAATTTGAATGTGAACAAATTGGTTTTAAAAAAAATGAAGAAATATGATGCAACCAGGGAAATCTTAGTACTGATCTCAGATGATATTTACAGACTATATAATGTTGGGATTATGCTTGTAAGTAACTGGGGTTGGGGAATTTTAAAGATAAAAAAAAAATTGATCACAAGTTGATAATATTCAAAGCTGAATGATGGGTACAGAAGAGTCACAACACACTTTTTTTTTTTTCAATTGTAGTTTGGGTGAAAGTTTACAGAGCAAATTAGTTTTCTGTTCAACAATTTATACACATTTTGTTTTATAACAATGGTTGCAATACCTCCAATATAACAGCACTCTTCCTACTTTCTCCCTGAGTTTACTGTTTTCATTCATCCTTCTTTCCTGCCTCTTTGTGAGCTTTGTTTTTTGTAAATGCTGCCCTTTTGGTCTCATATGGTTGATTTTACTGAGGAGCACATTCCTTCCTGGTATTATTATTGTTCACTTTATAGGCCTGTCTATTGTCTGGCTGACAGTTGATCTTCAGGGGTGGGTTCAGTTCCATACTTAAAGAGTGTCTAATGGAGTAGTTTAAGAAGCTCTTGTGGCTGAGAGGATAAAGCATTTGCCTGCTAACCAAAAGGCTGCTGGGTCAAACCCATGAGCCAATCTGTGGAAGGAAGATGGGGCAATCTACTTCCATAAAGATTTACAGCCTCAGAAACCCAATGGGGGTTGCAATGAGTTGGAATCAACGGCAGAGAGTTTAGTTCTCTGGTCTCAGGGTAGTGAAGGCTGTGGTAACACTAATTCCACATTTTTTAATATCTTTGAAATTTTCTGTAATAAAAGGTTTTTCAAGAAAATATAAAATCATGGAAACAATTAGTCCTAGCGACTGGTATACCATCCGATCTGCAACCTACATGACTATGAGACCAGAAGAACTAGATAGTGCCCAGCTACCAATGACATCCACTTGGAAGGGGATCTATGTAGGAGATCCTTGATAGAGAGGGAGAACAATGTGGAACAAAACTCAGAATCACTGGAGGAAAAAAAGGGGAGGACCAGGTTTACTGGTCCAATAGAGCCTGGTGGAACCACTGAGCCTATGGCCCCTAGCTGTTCTTCAGGTCTGGAATTGAACTCACACCCGTGGTTTCCAGCCGAACAAAAGACAGGCATATGAGTTGAACATTTATCTCAGGTAGATACACTCCTTGGAGAGAACAATCATGGGAAAAAGAAGGGCTGCTTATGGACAGGGAGACAGCTCAGGGGGCAGGAATGCATGGAGGGATG